TGATTATTGTGCAATATTTACATTAATTCCACGGCCAATATTGGCTTTACGTTGGACATTATCGCATTTCTAATATAACCAACATTGGGTCAATGTTTAGCCAATGCACTGTGCTACTAGGGAAAGGAGACAGTCTTCTCTTTACAGAAAAAATTTTCAGGGTCATTTCAACATATACGATAAGATCTTAAACAATAAAATCCCGACTTCCATAAAAGTAATCGATCTTTCATCATTTTTTTACAAACATTTGCCATTTAGTTAGTGTCTATTCGACGTGGGCGGCGCAGTAGATAAGGCCGGTTCTGGTCAGCCGCGCGCTTCTTCAACCGAGACGCGTCCATCTCGCGATCAAACGGCGGTCCGAAGTGGCGGCATTCGAATATGGTAAGTTAACAGCTTGGAACGAGTCCCGTGCTACTGCTTGGCGGACGGCCAAGTCGTGAAAATTCCTCAAACCGGCGAACACCCAACGGGCTCTGATCGACATTCCAAGGCTGGTGCAAATGCGCAGTGGATTTGTTGCTCGTTTCTAGCTTCTGCGGCCGTGCGGGCGGGGGGACCTTCGGCTTGCTTTTTATTCAATTTCAAAGACGGCGACTCGCGTCGCGAGGAACCAATGTCAAATTTGGCACGAGGGCACGAGGATTACCAATCGGTCGAAATAGTATGCAGCGATGCCGCGGCGCTCATTACACGTTTGTCGCGCGAGGATTTTATATCGTATGAAAGGTGGAACGATTAAAATGTACTCGAGAGAATTTTGTTCAACTTAAAATTGAAAAAGAAAAAACTCAAACCAATCCCTGAATTTAAATATTACGAAATCAGATCTGTAGTTTTGTAAATCGCAGTTTTCAACTTTTCCTGTTAATTCTCACATTACGTTATTTAAAAGCAGGTTTAGGTTTCTACAATAAAAATTAAATTCCTCCCAGTTACGTATATTTCACTTCGTTTTATATATAATAGCATTTATTACGCGAGACTTCCTTTTAAATGTATTCGATGTTACGGCAAGAATAAATGGTTGACGATAAAAAACACGGAACGCACTGCGTTATTCTGCGACGAAATCCAAGATAAATGAAAATAAGGAAAGCAATAAATTCCCGCTCATAAAGCGACCTGTAAAGTCCCTCTTACGGTTCGGTATTAAGTTCGTTGAAGCTTCCTTATTAAAATGCTAAACGCGTTTACTTTTCCTTGAAGCGAGTAATAAAAATAGAACGGGAAAATCGTGGATAGAAGCTTAAAAATTTGCATACACATTATGCTACCGTATTTTTCACGGAAATTATGCTTTATTAAAAAGATGTGTACATTGACGTGGCGATATCGCCAAGTTTTATTAATTGCGATTCGTGTAATGTACAAAATTCTTTTCTCTAGATCGATACAAATTAAGAATAAAAATATTCTAAATGCGATCCACGATTTTAGTACAATGTCAAAGTATCGGGTTATCGACATTCCAGCATTTCGCATTCGTAACCTTCCAAAGCAGTACATCTTCATAGTAATCAATAATAAAAAGTAGCATGTCTTTTCTACATATATATACAGGGTGTCATTGAATATTAGGGACTTTTTTGGTGTGCAGGTAGAGCGGACTAGACCGAGTCGAAAAGTCCTGTACCATTTTGCAATTTTCGCAATAGATAACGAGTAATTAATTATTCAAAATTGTCGTCCATGCTCTGTCGTCCTCGACCCATCCATCTGTCCGGATATCGCGCGTTTAAAAATCCGCGTGCTTGCCGGGAGAAATGCGCAGGAGCCCCGTCGCGCTCGAATTGGGAGGTGGGCCGGGCTAAAACGACAATTTTGAATTACAGGACTTTTCGACTCGGTCTAGTCCGCTCTACCTGCACACCAAAATAGTCCCTAATATTCAATGACACCCTGTATATGTATATAAAAGTGTTACAGCTCTGTTTTTTTTTCATCATTTATTCTTGCCATATCGTGGAACAAACGTTTCAGAATTTCTCGCGTGATATATGAGAGCATTAAACATACTTAATGCTTCCTACGTTTATCACGATCATCTCTACGCTGTTCGCGCTCATCTTTGCGCTTTGTTGTCGTCGTGGTCGAGCTACTGGCGCGCTTAGCCTGTTTCAAGAACTGATCCAGACCGAAAGGATCTTCCTCGTCTTTCTCAAACTGTACTGGTCCCGATCGCGGGACTGATCTATCGACTCCGCTAAATTCCTTGTCAGGAACGAATCTAATAAAAAAAATAAACGACAAATAGAGTTTCCAAATTTATGGACGAACATTCGTAATTATTCAAATTAAAGTATTACTGCGAACAAAGCTAGTAAGATTTCCCACCTGTTTGTCTTAACTAGTTTCTCCAAATCGTCCCCGTACGTGTCTTTATCGATATTCTTGCTGGGACGATAAATATGTGAAGCGATAGAATTGCCGTCTTTCCACGGCTTGTCGTAGACGTTATACTCGTCGTCGTGCCCGTAACCGCTGTCCATCCCTTTGCTGGTATTAAAGAGACGTTGGTCAAACTGTGCCTCTCCCGTACTAGGAATGCTCTTTGCAGGCAAGCCGAGAGCGATTTGCTCGCTAATGTCGCGTTCGCGTTCGCGTTGCAAGCGAGAACGCTTGTCGGGCGCGGCGCGAGCCAGATTACGCTCGCGAGCGCGATCCTTGTGCCGCTCTTGCCTGAGTTGGTCTCTCTCGCGGGACTCTTCAGCTTTGTCTGCCGAGAGCGAGAGAAAGAGAGCAGTTATTTACAAATAAAATATGTCTCGATTCAGAACGTCAAATTCTTTTTATTACTATATGTATGAACAATCACACAAACCTAACGTCGCGGCAGATTTCAAGCCGGCGCGCTCTTCTCGGGCTTTCTGCGCGAGTTGCCTCAGGTGATCCTCCTTCTTCTCCTTCTCCTTCTGGGCCAGCTTCTTCTCTAACTGCGCGCGCATTTCGACAGCTTGACGGGCTTTCCTGTCAGCGATATAAAGAGCTTCCGATAGCTTGGCGAAGTTCTCGTTGATGTGAACTTGCTGCAGGCCCCGGCCGTCCGCAGCGAGACGCTTGTCCAACGGGATTGTGTAACCCTGAAACGAATCGCGGCTTCGTTTAATCCCAGGTAGAATCGAGCGTTCCAAATTACATTTCAGCGTTATCTCCCTCTCACGGCAGCGAGATACACAATATTCGCAGGTACCTTTGCGTTCTTCCAGTTGCTTATGCACGGCGGGATTTTCCACTCTTTTTGTTCCTTCACCGTCACCTTCCTCGTGGGAGAGTGCATGACGGGCGCTGGAGGGGACGGAGGGCCTCGCGGAATTTTCTTATTGATCCTGCAACGTGAACCGCAAATCTTCACGTCAACGCATTCAACAGTCGTAGCTACTCTTTACTCAATCTCGCTATCGTCTGATCTTCCCTCTACATACTTGAACTTCGGTGGCTCCAGGGGGTCCACCTGCGCCTCCACCATCCTGATGACCCTCTGCTTCGCGCCCGAATTGAACGACTGCCCCTGCTGCGACGGCGTGTACCGTATATACTGCGCCGGAGCTTGTTTCTCCGCGCATCTCACGGGCATCGCCGCCGCGATCTTGGATCTCGTTATCTTCTCCAACGCTTTCCTCGTCTTGTCCGTGAGCTCGTCCATCTCGTCCTCGGGCGGCCGTTGCAAGGTAGGATCCTCCTCGTTCGTTATCTCCGACGGTAGTAAGTCGCTCAACTTGCTGTAAACTATCTGTGAAAAGAAATTAACGGCTGTAGACTGTGCCAGTTTACATTTCGGCGCTTAGACCGAAGCTCACTTTGTCCTTGCCGTGTCCTTGCCTCGCTATAAGATCGTATTTCACTTTTCCCTGAGCGTCGAGCTGCACCGCCAAGGCGTTGCTCGTCGATTCCTTGCCCTTCATCCCCATCCCGTGCGGATACTGTGCAACGTGAATCTCGGGGAAGGCGCCTCCATCTCCAAAGTCCTGCGCAACGTACATTTATTATTGCAAACGTTACCATGATCATTCGTAGCCACGCGAAAGCAATTGAATTAGGCTGATAAACAAAAGTAGGCGCTTTCCTTCCTCTTTCGCCAGTGAAGATTTAACGGAATTAAGTAATTAAAACAGTGAGCTTATTGTCAACCCAACTGGCAAATTTTATTGAATTCGTTACTACGTTCCGACCTTACTTTGGCTCCTTTTGACAAGAAAACTTCACAGACAAGCACGTCGTCATCTTGTCCATGAATTTTTTCTTGTTTCTTTTTATTTGTATTGTTACTTGAGAAGAACCTGAAGTAAGGTCGAAACGTTGTAACGAATTCAATCAAATGTGTTAGTTGGGTTGACAATATGCACTGTTTTAATTTTCAATCGTCACTGGTGACTACAAGCGACACTTTTCTTTCGTGGAATCAAGTTTTGACCGACACTACTGGCTATCGAATAAACTTTATTTAAGGCGACCTTTCGACCACATGGGCTGTGGTCCTTTTCAAGCAACGTATGATTAAACTCACAATTAACTGGCAGTGGCAAAACAACGCCATTTACAGCGGATAAAAGTTGAACAAGATGAAATTGATAAAACGTTAGAAATCACAATCGTTGCATCGAGTCAGCAGAAATTAGGCTGATGTGCCGATAAAGATTGATCGTGTGTGCGGGTCGCGGCAGACACTCACTTCTGGATTGCGCGGCACCCATCCTCGTCGTTGCCCATAAGGCGGCGCGGTGACGACGGCCTTGACCAGCGCAGAGACGGGCCTCTGGCGCAGCTTCTGCTCGCGCGCCTCATCCTCCCTGTCCCACACTATTTGGGTTGGCGCAGGTAACAAGCTGAATGAAGAAAGCTGCTATTACAATACGGAAAATTTACCCGAACACTGGTTTCTAGGTTAGGACCTCGGGTCGACCGCGTCTCTTCTACATCGCTCAGGATCGCGATAAACGGCAGTGGAAAAACGGTTCTATTACATAAATGCACAAGTATGAAAGTAACAGCTCCTTAGGACCTGAGCAGAACCACTGTCTTGTACCCTTAGGACACAAGACAGTTGTTTGCGCGCTGTACTTCGAGACAAGGATTCAAAACACAAGACATTGTTTTAAGGGTACAAGACAGCCGTTCCGCTCTCACTTTGTCAGAGACATCGCTGGATCTATGTGTCTCCTTCTTTTATGTTATTGTGCCGTATTCTGTCACTGGTGTCCGGGTCAACTCACAACGGTCGTGAGTCGACCAGAGTCCTGCTGCGGAGTGCCTGCGTCCCGGAGGCCAATATGGCTGGGTTTGTGTGTAACGAATCGAGGGTCCGTTCGCGTCGCATGCTCCAACGTGCCCCCGCTTGCTGGACAGACCTCGCGAACAGACCTCGAGTCACGCGCACAGCTGGAGGAGCTCGGTGCTTCTGCCGCGCGAGGTCCCCACGATCGACTCGCGACTATAAGTACTTATAGGAACTTCTACTCGCGACTAGAGACCCTCTAGTCAGAGTCTGGCCAACAGAGTTGTCCGCCATGTTTAGTCAAATCCAACATGTGAGAGAGAGAGAGAGAGAGAGAGAGAGAGAGAGAGAGAGAGAGAGAGAGAGAGAGAGAGAGAGAGAGAGAGAGAGAGAGAGAGAGAGAGAGAGAGAGAGAGAGAGAG